GTATGTGGTGCTGAGGATCGAACCCGGGACACATGCATGTCAGGCGAGCGTGCTACCGTTTGAGCCACATCCCCAGCCCTAGGAATGATGTTATATGATTATTTTTCCTCAATGGGTTAGTCTGATGTTTCCCAACTTTTAGTTATATACCATCTTTGTGAGTTTTTGCTATATCTTGTACTATTCTTTATTAAATACATTTAAATTTTTAAAAAAATTTTCTTTACTCAAATAGATTTATTTAAAAAAGTAAACCTCATCACTTCTGTAAATGAGAAACCAATATCATTTGCCATAAATAGAACGTAACTTTAACAATAGTAAGAGCTGGGGCTGGGTCTCAGCGGTAGAGTACTCGCCTGATATGTGTGAGGCACTGGGTTTCATCCTCAGCACCACATAAAAATAAATAAATAAAATAAAGGTATTGTGTCCATCTACAACTAAAAAAATAAAAATGAAAACCACACACACACACACAAAATAGACACAGTGAAAAACATAACAATCTCATTAAATTCTAAGCCAGATCCTGTTGTTGGCAAATATGTTAGTCCTGAGGCTGCCTCTCGCTTTGTTTATAAAACAAAAAAACAGAGTCTTAAAAACAGTAGTATCAGGCCTGGGTTGTAGCTCAGTGGTAGAGCGCTTGCCTAGCATGCGTGAGGCACTGGGTTAGGTCACCAGCACCATATAAAAATAAAACAAACAAAAAAATAAAGGTATTGTGTCCATCTACAACTTAAAAGAAAAAAAAAAAGAAGAAAACCCAGTCATCAAACTTAGACTTTTTCTCCTCTAAGCTAGCAGAGGACTTTAACAGAGCTATTAAAAGGAACATTTTCATTTTGGGACTTAGTGTTTAATCCTACATATGTGCATATGTGTTGTGTTATCTCCTCTCCTTCCAGTAGCTTATGTCCTGCTCTAAGGGCTGGTTCAGGTTGTGTTGCCATAACAGATTAACTCTGAAATCTTAGTGGATTAATACATGAAGGTGTGTTTCTTGCTCATATTGCTTGTTCAAAATAGGATGGGGTGGGATGGAGGCCAGACTGTGCTCACCCTCATTGCCTAGGCTGAGGGAGGCCCACCATCTGGAACCTTGCCAGTCACTATCACAGGAGAGAGTCATGGAGAACTCAAGCCTGTGAGTTCTTTTATACTGTGGACTTGAAGTGTGTACTTCACTTGTTTTCTCAGCCCATTGGCAAAGTCACATGACTTTGCTTAAATGCAGGAAGGCTGGAAAATATAGAGGAGTACATGGCATATTTGGTGACCATTGTTGTCTCTGCCACATCTACCTGTGCTACAGAGGGCTGGTCTGGAAGCCTCTGGATGAGCAATGGATGTGGGCAGTTGTTGTCTGAAGAAGGTGATGATTGTGTAGGGCTAGCTTATTATATTGTTGATATTATAAAAGCAAGTAAATGAAAGTAGTCAGACATGCTGAATGGCCTCTTGGTAATGTTGTGTCTTTTCTTAAAGCTTCATTAAAGAACGGTCAAAAGTCAACGCAGTTCCTCTGAAGAATAAGAAGGCCTCAAGTTTTCATGAGTTTGCTCGGAATACCAGTGATGCTTGGGACATTGGCGATGATGAGGAAGAGGACTTTTCATCACCTTCTTTCCAAACTCTGAACTCAAAAGTTGCTTTAGCAACTGCAGCCCAAGTTCTAGAAAACCACAGCAAGTTGAGGGTAAAGCCAGAACGGTCCCAGTCAACAACATCTGACGTTCCTGCCAGCTATAAGGTCATAAAGTCCAGCAGTGACGCCCAGCTATCCAGAAACTCCAGTAAGTCCCTTCTGTCCCCTCCACATCCTCGGCCTTCTCAGCAGAGTACATTTTATTTAAAAATGATTTTTCTTTAAGGAATCACCCAGATCTTCATGGGGTGGTAAAAAGCAAGCTCAAGCCTGAGGTTTGACATCAGCGAGCCTAACTGGTCACTAGCTGTTCTTGCACCTCCCACTTTGGTCATCGCCCAGCCCTGTGACTTGGGCCTTCGCTTCCTGACACCCAGATGTTGCCTACTGTTCTCCTTTTCTTTTTCCTTTTCCTGTGGTGGGGTCTAAAACTTCTGTGGTTTGATTGCGTTAGATCTGCCAGGTTTATGATGTTGACTTACATCTTTAAAGTGGTAATGGCTGAAATGGTTGGCAGCCCTGATCGACTTCCTTAGCCCTGGGGAAGGCCACCAGTATAAGGTGGTCTTTTTCCTATTTCTGCAGGAGGGAGCAACAAATGATAGAAAGCACCAGGTCACAGCTCTCTGCTCATCTGACATGCCCATCAGCATGGGTGGGAGGAGAGGAGAGGCCTGTTCTGTTTCTTCTCAGGAAACTGGCCTCAATAACTGGTTGAGGTGATTGTGGTTTTATAAGGTATTTGGGGACTTTCAGTGTACTCTTGTGTATCCATTGCTGAGTTTAACGTGTCTAAAAGGGTTTTATGGAAGTCAGTTATTCAGAGCTGGGGAGGGAAGGACCGTCCTTCTAGTGAAAGTTAAAGTGGCTGACCGGTAATGGACAAGAAGGAAGTTCAATATCAGAGCCCTGGAGTGTGTCCTGGCTCATGTTCTAAGAGCATTTCATTACAGCAAGCTCTTTACACCATTCCACAGTCTTTTTCCATCTTGCTTCTGGTCCCAGCTTGAACCATGAGTGCCATGCTCAGATGGGCACTTGGTGTTGATTGGTCCGGTGGCCACAGCAACAGGCTGTGGAAAGTGTCTACACACTGTAATTGGGGGTGTGGTTCCCAGTGTGAGGAAGGCCCCTTCCATGATCACTGTTGAGCTGTCCAGGACTCTCCGGCATTTTTCCCTCATGGAGAGGTACCCTTCTGTATGTATCTGTAATATGCTGGCTGTTAACAGACAGATGTACACAGAGGGGAACCTCTGTGTATCTGCTCAGCTTTGCATTTTCTAGTGACAGTAGGCATCCCAGCCAAGCACCTCGTGACAGTTGTTTCTGTAAACTTTCTAGTAGTGCTGGTTAATTTTGTTGTGACCATTACTTTTAAGGCCTAGATGTATTAAGAATATGAAACAGTCATGAAAGTCATGAGAGTCATGATTAAAAGCACTTCTCTGAGGATATAGCTCAGTTGGTGGAGTGTTTGCCTCCCATGTACAAGGCCCTGGGTTCATCTCTCAGCCAGCATCTCAAAAACAAAACAAACAATCCCCCCCAAAAGAACAACAGCAAAACAAACAAACAACCCCCCCCTAAAAAAAAAAACAAAACAAAACAACCCACTTCTCTTTGTGGTAGTAAAATACTTTGGTGTTTTAAGTCAGATATAACTGAGGTGTTATCTTTGCTCTCACAATGACTTAACTTCCTCAGGCTGCCCTTGTCTGTAAAATAGTTATAAATTCTTGCCATATGTTGTAAGGATCAAGTGAGATCACTTATACATAGTAGGTACTCAATAAATGTTCGTTCTCTACTGCTTATTCCTCCTACCCACCATCTTGACTTAGAATATCTGGGGCTAGACAGAGAGTTCCGTTCCTGTTACTTCTGTCATATCATGGTGAAGTCAAAGCTGGTTCATTTTGGTGGGAGATGTGGGAGCACAGAGGAACAGTAGCTCCCCAGCATGGGATTGTCTCTGGCCACAGCTGCTTACCCACTGATTCCCTGATGGGCCAAGGACAGGCTAGAATTGGGCCTGGGCTGCAGTCCTCTCATGCCTCAGGACAGCCACGTGGGGCCTGGGCTTGAGGAGAGCAGCCCCTGCTTTCATTACAGTGTGCTTTGAGTGTCACCACTTCTCCTGTGCCCTGTGATGTGGAAACAGAGGAAAGCACCGCCTCAGACTGCACTCATCCTTAGGTGGGGTAGAAAGGTGCCAGCCTGGGGTAAAAAGAAAACACTGGACCTTACTTGGAGGTGCCATGCATGTTCTTGGAAATTGCTGCAGCATCTGGAGTCTGTGAGCACATGAATGCCTTGGTCCTACGCACAGAACGCAGCCCTTTCTCTGGGGGAGGAGTGGAGCGCGGTGGGGTCTCCACTTCTTGCTGCACCTCAGCTGGGCACCTCTGGCAGCACTTGCAGGCACAGCCCGTGCTCCGGAGGAGGAGGCCAGTGTTGGACAGTCAGAGTTGAGGTTTCTCATTCTCTTTCTCTTTCAAATGATCTCAGGTGACACATGCCTGAGGAACCCACTCCATAAACAGCAGTCACTCCCTCTCCGACCCATCATCCCCCTCGTTGCCCGGATCTCAGACCAGAATGCTTCTGGGGCACCCCCAATGACAGTCCGGGAGAAAACGCGTCTAGAAAAATTCCGTCAGCTTCTCTCCAGCCACAACACTGACTTAGGTGAGTCTGGAGCCCAGGCCAGGCAGGAGCGCTTGGTGACCGGAATTCTCAGAGACCTGGAAGCTGTTGCTCTTTACTCTTCCTTCTTTTACTTTTCTAGTATCTCCTGACCTGGCGCCCATTGCAGCGAACCGCAGGTATTAAGGCGGAAGTAGAGAGTAGGGATGAGTGAGGTGGGATTGGTGTCTGGGGCCTGTAGACCAGCACAGCTCCGGGCTCTTCTCCTTACGGGGATTCTTACTGAGACCCACACCCATGGTTCTCTCTGTTCCCCTCTGACTCTCGTCTTTGAGCTCTTTACTACAGGGCTGTGTCCGTGGCCTTCTGCTGCTCTTTTCAGTTCTCTTCCCTGTGCTTGTAGGTGGCAGGTGGTCGTGACCTCACTGGGATGGTGGGAGGAGTCAGGCAGCGCTGGTCCAGGTTTGTTTTAGGGCCTTTGTGGGAGGACCTAATCCAACAAGGCTGTTTTCTGTTTGCAGATGAACTGAGGAAGTGTAGCTGGCCAGGGGTTCCCAGGGAGGTTCGACCCGTAACCTGGAGACTCCTGTCGGTGAGTTCTACCCACTGTGTAGAGAAGCGTGAGCCTCACACAGCCCTTCTTGCCTGATGAGGTTAGTCTGGACAAGTTGGTCTTACTCCATAGACTTCTCTAGTCCCACTGGATGTGACAGAGCTGTGGGGCTGCAGTCCTATTTCTATGCACAGAGACACATTCTTTTCTTTTTTTTTTTTTTTTTTTGATACTAGGAATTGAACCCAAGGTATTCTACCACTAAACTACATCCTTGGTCCTTTATTTTTATTCATTTTATTTTATTGATCCTGGGGATTTAACCTGGGGGCACTTAAGCACTAAGCCACACTCCTGGCCCTTTTTATTTTGAGACAGGGTCTTGCTAAATTTCTCAGGCTGGCCTTAAACTTGCCGTCTTATCTCAGCCTCCTGAGCCACTGGGATTACAGTCATGCACCACCATGCCCAGCTGTTATTTTTTTTATCTTATATTTAAATTGTTGAGGCTGTCCTCAAACTTGAAATCCTCCTGTCTCAGCCTTCCTAATAGCTGGGATTATAGGCATGTGCCATTGTGCCCAGCAAGACACATTCTTGAGAGTTTATTCTCAGTTGTGCAGGGTGGAAATATATTCGTATTCCCAAACGTGGAGAGAAGCATGAGTTGGCTCCTGTGGTCACAGTCTCACTTTCTTAACAATGGAGAAGCAGAATATAGTAAGACAGAGTGATCCCACCCTTACTTTTTAAAAAAATTGGGAATTGAACCCAGGGGGCATTTACCACTGACCTAAGCCCCTAGCCCTTTTTTATATTTTTATTGTGAGACAAGGTCTCACTAAGCTCTTAGGGCCTCATTAAATTGCTGAGACTAGCCTTAAATTTGTGATCCTCCTGCTTCAGCCACCCAACTCGCTAAAATTAGGGTGTGTGCTGTCATGCGGGGACCCACTGCCCATGAGCAAGCTCTGACACTCCCTGTGCTTCACTTCTTTTTCAATAGGAAAAAGAAAAGTGGTCAAAACCCACTCAGCTACTGTGAAGTGGGTTAGTAAGTGGGCCTCCCTCTGTAGCCATACTATTCTCACTCCCCCTGTGCACAGAGCACTGTGGCAGCCACTGCAGTAGGAACACTTGGACTTGCTCAGCCTGTGATTTCATTCATTCATCCAGTAAAAATTTACTGAGGGCCTGCTGCTTGCCAGGCACAGTGCCAGGTGCAGTAGCATATTCAAAGTCAAGCAAATCAGCATCCCATGCTCCAGGCACTGACTGGAGGCATTGCCTGAATGTCTTCTAGAGGAAGTATCTCTTCCCTCACTGCTCTCCCAGCCCAATTTTGCAGCCACGTAATCATCACCTCTGCCACTTTGAGTAAGTTTTGATGCTGCTCAGGGTGGATCTTGTGAGCAGAAGAGGAAAAGGAGATGAGAGAATGGGAGTGGGATCGGGACCAGGATGAGAAGGAGAGTTGGCCAGGAGCTTGGGCTAGGAAGGGCCTGCTGCCAGAAGTTCTTTGTGGCATTGTAATTGCCGTGTCACAGATCCCATTCACCTTCCTAAGCTGCCGATTCTGAATGGTACACTGGAAAAGAGTGTGTAACCAGTACCAAGACCTTGGCACACAACTGAGGTACACCATAGAACTTGCCAGTTCCTTGTGATTCCCAGAGGTGCTGGCCTACACACACGTGGCCTTTAGAGGCCGTGACTTGGTCTAGTTCCCTCCCACTGACCTACATACACAGCTCTAGGCTGCCAACTCCAGGAGCCGTGGAGTGCTCCCCAGCAGTACGTGCTCCAAGCGCCGCACGGGGCCAGTGGACTGAGGAACTCGGAGAAAGCTGGCCCTGTTTCTTCTGCCCACATGTGGACCTCATTGAACAAGGGCAAACACTGTGGCCAAAACCAAAAAGGAATTTGCTCTTGACCTCTTGGCAGTTTCCCTTCTGTTCCTTTAATAGTTTCCAAACCACTGCTCAGGCTAAAATAAAAATAAAGGACTCGTCCAGCCAAAGTCTGTCCTCACTGATGGGCAGTCTTGTCTATAGGGCTACCTCCCCGCCAACACTGAGAGAAGGAAGCTGACTCTGCAGCGGAAGCGGGAGGAGTATTTTGGCTTCATTGAGCAGTATTACGACTCTCGAAATGAGGAGCATCACCAGGATACCTACAGACAGGTACGGTCCTCGCCTGCCGCCCCTCGGCTTATTTTTGGGGTTCTTTAGGTGTGTCGCCTGGTAGCATTTCAGGCGGAGGTTTTCCAGGTCTTCGGGCTCTAGTGTACAGATTAGGGATGAGATTTATTTCCAGAATTCCTGCTTTTCATTCAGTGGCTCTGATTTTAGCCATTTTAAATAGATAGAACATTTTTAGCACTAGTCAGTGACAGTGCTTCCCAAACTTTAATGTGCATGCAAACCACCTAGGACCTTAAATCATAGTCCCCACCCGGCAACTATGATAAAATGCAGCTCTTCAGTGAGGCCTGCCCTTCCAACAAGCTCCCTGGCAACGCTGGTCCACAGACCACAGAGTGAGTGTTGGGTGTTATGGAACATGAGAGGAAAGACAGCTTCACTCAGGAGTGTCCAGTCTCTCTGGACTATGACATCACCTCTGGCAGCTGCAGTGCTCAGTGAGCACCTCCAGCTGCCTGTCCTTCTGCAGGAGCCATCGCTATTAGGGAATCTTCCAGCATTGCCTGCAGAAAGGACTGCTAGCAGCTTTTCATGTGAAAGAAGGAGAAGAGGAGTCCAGGGGTGGTGGGCCAGCCCCAAGAACTGAAGTAGCCTCTACTGCTGATGACATCATCTTTAGGATGTCATCCTAACTAGGGCATTGGGAAGTCCTTAAAGGCCAAACCAACCACGAGTAACCTCTTTGGTAAGGAAGTGAGATTTTTAGTTCCGCTTCATGCAGACCAGCCCCCCGGTCCTTCCTCACTTCTCATGTGTTGAGATTTCATAAACAAGTCCTTCTCTGCTCCCCTGTCCTAGCGTGTTTTTAACAGTTACTAGAGCTCTTAAAAGAGAACTAAAGTTCTAGAGAACTGTTGACAAGTTAGCTTCTGAGACAGGTGTGCACACTTTGGTTGTACTTGGTAAATAAGTGCCTTCCCAGAGTGAATCAGATTCCAAAGAATGGGGAAAGCACTGGATTCCCTTAGGCCCTGAAGCAGTTGCTTGTTGTAAGTGGCTTGTTTGGGAAGGTGTCCTTGCTGGTCAATGAACTATTGCTCTCACGGAAACTACTGCATACAGATTGGAGGGTTTAATTGACTTTTCTTCTGTGTTGGTCAATTCTTTCTAAAGATAGTCTGCCTCTAACCCTTGTTCCTTTGATACCCATTTCTTAAGAAAATGACTTGTCAAAAGAACACACTGGCATTTGTGTTTTTGGATATGGCTTCTCTTTTTCAGATTCACATTGACATTCCAAGGACGAATCCTCTCATTCCATTGTTCCAGCAACCACTTGTACAGGAGGTGAGGGATTTACCTACCCTTCTTTGGTCCTTCTCCCCCATAGCCCAGGGCACCTGGCTGCAGTTCTGCAGCTCATCACAACTGTACCTTATGTTCATGTGTGAAGCTTTGTTTCAGAGCACTTTCTCATGTGTTCTCACTTGATCTTCATCAATGTGAGTGGAGAAGAACTTACTCAAGAGTCTTGGGGGCTACCTGGTAACAGGGTAAAGAACCTGTATCTTAGAATTCCTATTCCTGAGTTTGTTCTACTTTATCAAACTAGAAGTAGTGGTTGTTTTTGTTTTAATTTGTAGTAACACATATATAACATAAAATGTACCACTTTAGCCTTTTTTTGGGGGGGGGGCTATATGGGGGTTGAACCCAGGGCCTTGCTGGTAGGCAAGTGCTCTACTGCTGAGCTATGTCACCGCCCTTTTAAAATTTTATTTTGAGACAAGGTCTCATTAAGTTACCCAGGCTAGCCTTGAACTTTCCATCCTCCTGCCTTAGCCTCCCAAGTAGCTAGGATCATAGGCGTGCCCCATTGTGCCTAGTCATTTTAGTGGACACTGGATGTGGCGGTGATTTACTGGATGTGTGAACATCATCATCATCCATTTTCAGATCTTTATTCATCTTCTCAGTTTGAAACTCACTACCCATTAAATAATAATCCCCCATTCCCTAACAACTGGCATTTTGAATTTGACAACTCTAGGTCCCTCAAATAAATGAAATTACATAATGTTTTTTACTTTGTGACTGGCTCAGTTCACTTAGTATAATGTCTTTCAAGGCTCGTTCTTGTTGTAACATGTGTCAGAATTTCCTTCCTTTTTCAAGGCTGAATAATGTTCAATTGCATGTATGTAATGCATGCTGTTGATTTATTTATTATCGATGGACACCTGGGTTGCTTCTTCCTTTTGAAAGGAATGATGTCACAGTGAACATATGTGCAAATGTTTGTTTTAGTCCCTGTTTTAAATTCTTCAGAGATTAAACCCAGAAGTAAAATTAATAGTGATATTTTGAGACCTAACAAGTTAATGAAGCACATGGAAGGTCAATAGGGCTGTTATCTTTTGGCACAAGTGGTAACTATAAACACCTTGAGATCAGGAATTTCCTTTGTAGCTTTGCAGTAGCCAGGACGCTGAGTGCTAATGCTCTTTGAATTGATTTCAACTCTCATAATAGGGATGATGGTAAAAATGCTCAAAAATAATTTCTATTTGACTCTGGACAATATTCATGATTCTATTTAAACATAAGTGTCTTTACTGATGGGATTCCTCATGACTTACCAATGTCATAAGGAATATTTTGAGGCTGACACCATTATTTTACCTAGAAGATGCAGTTCAAAAGAGGCTAAAAACCTATTCTATACTTGTATAATTTTATCAAAATGGAGTCTACTATCATGTTTAACCAAGAAGAACCAATTAAAAAAAAAAAAGAAGCTGAAAACATTTGGAACTCAGCATTCAGGCACTCAGCATTCAGCTTCCGACTACTTAACCCTGCAGGGGCACTTTACCACTGAACTACATCCCCAGTCCTTTCTTTATTTTTTTTGTTTTGAGACAGGGTCTTGCCATGTTGTGGAGGCTGGCCTTGAACTTGCAGTCCTGCCTCAGCCTCCAAGTCTCAGGATGCGTGTGCCTGGCTAACCCTGCTTATTCCTTATTTTAACTTGATGATATTCAGATACTTATCCTTTCTTTGTGCAAGCTTACTCTAACCTTGGAGATGGGAAAGTAGTTGTTCAAAAGGCTTTCCTAGTGTGGAATCTGAAAATGAATATGGAAATTCAAACTTTATTCTTCACAATTTCTTTCTTTCTTTTTCTTTTTCTTTCTTTCTTTCTTTCTTTTTTTTTTTTGTGTGTGTGTGTATGTGTTTGTTTGTTATTTTTGTTGTGTTTTTTGAGATGCTGGGGATTGAATTCAAGGCCACATGCAAGTTGGGAAGCACTTTACCATTGAGCTACACCCCAAGCTCTTTTTATTTTACTAAATTGCCCAGGATGGCCTCCAACTTGAGATCTTCCTATCTCAACTTCTGAGTTGCTGGGATTGCCCGTGTGCACCCCTCAGGCCCAGCTTTGTCTTTTTTCTCAAATCACCTTTTCATGATATGGGCTGTAGTCATCTTAGGCAGAGTAAAAACCCCAACCAAGAAGCAAGAAGTAAGCAACACTGAATTCTGAAAGGCTTGCTTTGTAAACCTGAAAGATAATTGAGAACTCTCTCAAAAGTAAGTCAGAACCACTCACACTAGCAGAGGAGCTGAAAGGAGACCTTCAGGGGTTATCCTGTCCCCTTCTGTCTGTAGGGCAGGATCCCACGTCTTTTCCTGTAGCGCAGATCCCATGTTGTCCCTGGTTGCCAGGTTTGATGCCCTTCAGATGCTTTTGCTCGTACAGTGTGGGTGTGTCTGCATTGTCCCATCCTTTTACTATGGAGGCATTACTACAGGTCTCCATGCACTTGGCCATTGTTAAAGCCAGTCACCAAGGATCTGTGTATTCATTCACAAGGGCCCAGTAGTGTGGCATAGAAACCCTGGGAAGGCCCCAAGAAAGACTGTCCTGGGGACAGGCAAGTGCTATACCGCTGAGCCACACTCCAGCCCCTGGAGGAGCTTTGTTAAAAAGGTGTCCAGACAGACAAAGGCCACAGACGTGCAGGGAAACAAAGAGGGGCAGAGAATTCTTGAGATTTTCTGAAATAATTTTGGTATAGCTCGAGCTATATTTTCAAGAAGGCGAGAGGTCATTTTGCAAGAAGGCTCCCATTAGTGTCGGGCTGATATAAACGAGTGCCCCACCCGCTTCCCCACACCACAGACAGCAAGCTGGTGAGTGCAGTGCAGGCAGAGGGCCGCTCACTTCCTGACAGGGTTTTGTTCTCACTGCATGGAAGCTGTTTCTCAGCCCTCTCTGACCCCACCATCCGACATAGGGGCTGAGAAACAGCCTTTATTGTGTCTGTAGATGTTTCCCTATAATAAATAACCATCTCCAAAACCATATAACCATTTCCTTTTTCTTGGTCTCCCTAGAAGACCTTGCCTGCTTAGGACTGACCCCAGAGCTAGCTGGTTGGAACCCCACAGAGTGTGTGTGCTAGGGAGGCCCTCTGAACTCCTTCCCCACCTGCACACACTAACTGTCACCTCTGCCATTCCTCTGGTGTGGCAGCCCAGTCAAAAAACCATTGTCAAGAATGTGTCTGGCCCAGGAATTGTGGTCAATAGGATGAAGCCAGACATCAGGTGTCTTCAGACGGAGAAAATAGGGAGGAGAAGCCCCGAGGGCCTAATGCAAGCAGAGGGGAATCTAGTTGGATTGGACGGGGCAGGACTCCGATAAGGGGCTGTAAAGATGTTTTCTGTATCCCTGGCTTAGACATATGGCTTCTTGTGACCAATATACTTTACCCCAGAGGTTCTCCTTTGGGGACCCCAGCAGTTTTCTCTTTTTCTAAGTCCCAGCTGAGTGAGTCCAGAGAATTTGATTTCTTTGACTTCCTAACTCTAGCAGATGTCTGGGTTGCATCCTGATATAAGAAGGGACTTCCTGCATGTATAGTCTGTCACTTGTTCCTAGTCAGGCAAGAATGGAGCTAAATCTAGATCTCCTTCCTTCTCAGCAGGGTGAGGGGGCGGTGGAGAAGGTATTTCCTCTTTAATTTCTGTGATGACCAAAAAAGATTTAGAGAAAGGTATCAGACTAGAATGCTCCGATATCTTGATCCTGGAAATAGAGAAGCAGCATCCAGAAATGAGAATGTGCTGGCTTGAATTAGTGACATCCATAGTGAGCCTGTTTCTAAGTCATTTGTGTCATTATGCTATCCTTTTCCCAATTTTTATGTCACAGGAACCAGATACTGAAAGATAAAGGGCAATAATTACCTTAAAAACAATTAGTGCGTTAGAAACTCTGCATTTATATCTTCCTTTGTCCCACAGAATGTAAAAATTTCCTCCCAAATTCTACGCCAATCCCGAGATAAACTGTGTGGTAGGTAAGTGGAGGGCGGGAGTGTGTCCCCGTGATTTAACACTCGCGTCTTCTTTCTTTCTCATTTTCCTAGATCTTTGAAAGAATTCTATTTATTTGGGCCATCCGACACCCTGCCAGTGGGTATGTCCAGGGAATTAATGACCTGGTCACTCCGTTCTTTGTCGTCTTCCTCTCAGAATATGTGGGTAAGAAGCACGAGCACCGAGTTGAATGAGCTGTCACTCTTTCTCATCTGCCATCTGTTTGTTTGTTTCTCCCAAGAGTGCAGCCAGTATGTCCTGCTAAAAAAGACAGATAGTGGCTTTGGAATGTTTAACAGTGGTACCAGCCTGGGGTTCATCTCTTGAGATGATCACAGGTCTCACCTCAAAAGACCTGTTTTGTCACAAGAATGAAAAAGGTGATGTATTTATGTTCTGCCATGAACAAAATGGTCTGATGGCTTATTTGAGGTTGTTTTAGGATTACTTTGAACTCAGACACAGGCTCCCGTCCATAAGTGTTGGCATTTTGGGTTGTGCATCAGGCCTTGACGCTTCAGTTCATGTGCTAGATCTTAGGAGCAGGATATGGACATGTAGGGGACAAGAAGTTGGGGTATGAGAATCCAGCTTGTATTGGAGGAGACAAGTTGGGCCAGGGAGAACCCCAGGACCTTAATTCCTAACCCTCCTCCTTCACCTTTGCCTTACTGGGTTCCCCTCACTTTGGAGAGTGGGTGATTTATGGTTGCAATTGGGCTTTCTCATGGTCCCCCCTAAATGAAGCAGAGTCTTGAAAGGAGTTGAGGGTCTTGTTTCTCCTCTTTGGTTTCCTTGATGACTTGTGCTTAGAGGTTCACGGGGACATGGAGGCTTTGTTTCCTTAGTCAGGGCAAGAGAAGCTCATGTAGGAATAAGAATGTGGAAAGGGACTTGGAAAATCATCCCCTGCAGGCCCTCATTTCATAGGTGAGTTCTGAGGGATTCTGCCTACTTACTGGTGGCAGAGCCAGAATTAGAACCTTTTACTTTAGGCTCTGGGGTGATGAGTTATTTGGGGCTTTGGAGGAATAGGTCCATCCAGTTCAGGTTTTCTGATGGGAAACAAAAGGATGGTCTTTGATGAGACAGTCTCAAAAAGTCAAGGCAACAGAATATCATCCCTTCTTTTGCTTAAATAGCAGCAGCCAAGGTAGAACTGGTGGTAAGGCCTGGTATTGTGGCACACACCTGTAACAGCAGCTACTCAGGAGGCTGAGGCAGGAGGATTTCAAGTTGAAGGCTAGACTCAGCAGCTTAGTGAGGTACTTTCTCAAAAAAAAAAAAAAGCGGGGGGGCTGGAGTTATAACCTCAGTGGTAGAGTACCCCTGGGTTCAGTCTTCAGTTCTACAAGCATGTGTGCATGCACGTGTGCGCGCGTACACACACACACACACACACACACACACACACACGGAACTGGGAGTGAGGGTGGAAGGTCATTCTTGTCCACTCTTTCAGGTGATCCTAAGAAGAAAGCACAACTAGTTAAAATTTAGCATCCAGAAACATAAGAAAGCCTTTTCTAGAGCACTTTATCACTCCCTGAATAATGGGTCAACTTTAGGAGGCAACTTAATTCTACTGTGTTTTTAACTGTATTAGGAAAGTAGCTCAAGTCTGTCATGGTGATGCCTGTCTGTAATCCTAGTGACTCCAGAGGCTGAGGCAGTAGAATCACAAGTTCAAGGCCAACCTCAGCAACTTAGTGAGCCCCTATCTCAAAAATAAAAAATAAATAGGGCTGGGGATTTCAGTGTTAAAGCACCCCTGGATCCAATAACCAGTAGCAAAAAAAGAAAGTAGTTCAGCTGATTTATTGGAATTTGGGGATTTTTTTTTTTTAAGTGAAAGAGTTGAGAGAGAGAGAGAGAGAGAGAGAATATTTTTTTAATATTTATTTTTTAGTTCTCAGTGGACACAACATCTTTGTTGGTATGTGGTGCTGAGGATCGAACCCGGGCCGTACGCATGCCAGGCGAGCGCGCTACCGCTTGAGCCACATCCCCAGACCGGGGGGATTGTTTCTTGTAATAGTCATTGCTTTCTTCTTCTTCCTCTTTCCTGCTCTTCCTTCTTTTACCTTTTCCTCCCTCGTCTCCCTCTCTCTCCCTCTTTTCCTCCTCTTACATGCTAAGAACACAGCTATAGTTTTGTGTTTTTTTTATGTCTCTTGAGCTTTATTTATCTGCTGATATGCCCAGTGACTTTTTTTTTACAATGACCTTGACATATCATACATTTGAATCAGATGGGATATAAGATCTCATTTTTCTGAGTATACAGGTTGCAGAATCACATTGGTCATGCATTCACACATACAGCTATAGTTCAGATTGGATATTTCATTACCTTGTTAGCCATCATTTGTATTTTCTACCAAGCTTCCCTTTACTTTCCAAGAGTGCCCATCTCACTCCTACCTCAACCCCATCTGTTCAATGAAGCTCCTGCCTTTCTGTGATAGATAGAACTGATTTCTGATCCTAGTCTTTGACAATCAGCTGCACCTGTCAACGAGGGAAGCCATTGCTGACCTGTGGCATCTGCTCAGGGTGGGCCTTTCTGCTTTCCCGAAGGGCCAGTCTAGGCCAGCCTGCATAGTCTCACTTCTACAGCTCATCTCACATGGTCTTCAGGACCTCCTGACCTAGAAAGAGGGGCCCAAAATATCCAATCATGCTAAATTTCAAATACATGTAAAAATAGAAAAAAAATCATATTTTATACCCACTATGTCCATCACCCAACTCTAGCAGTGTTTTATTTATCAACACTTTTGCCAATTCTCTACCGCTTCACCTTGTAAATTATTTTGAAACAATAAGACAAGGAAACACAGCCATAATACATCTAAAAAGTAATAATAGCTCTTTAATATAATCTAATGTGCAACCAGTGTCCATAAATTCCCAGTTCTTATAAATTTATTCAAAAGATTGAATAGAGTCCAGATTAGGTCCATGTGTTATATAGTTGGTTGATAAAGCTTTTTGAATCTCTCAGTTCCCATCCATCTTTCTTCACCTAAGGAATATGTCGCTTTAGCCCTTGTTTTTTACCCTAGGGCCTTGCCACCTCAAGCAGTAATAGCATCCTGATTTTTAAATCACGTTACCTTTTCTAAAGTACCTTGACAAACCTGATTTTATTTAGTAGAACCAAATATCTCTTTAAGGTAGATGTACCAGCCTGCTTTACAGAAGAGAAATCCAAGGATCAGAGATTTAAAGAGATTCCCAAATTCAAATCTGGATTTTCTGACCTTAATACTTAATTCTTGGGCTGGAGATGTGGCTCAAGTGGTAGCGTGCTCGCCTGACATGCGTGCGGCCCGGGTTCAATCCTCAGCACCACATACAAACAAAGATGTTGTGTCCGCCAATAACTAAAAAATAAATATTAAAATTCCCCCCCCCCTCTTAAAAAAAAAAAAAAACTTAATTCTTGCTATTTGACCTGGGGATATCTCAACTGAGATCTTTGTCCTTGTACATCTAAAGGCTCTCCCTACAACATTCTCTGATCCAAAGTAGTTAAAAAAAAAAAAAACTTGAGGCCAGGCATGGTGGCATACTCCCCTATCCTAGTGACTCTGGGAGACTGAGGAAGGAGGATCATAAGGTTAAGGCTAACCTGGATAACTTAGCGAGACTGTCAGTGGTGGAGTTCTTGCCTAGCATGTACTGTGCCCTGGTTTCAATCCCCAGTACCACCAAAACAAAAAACAAATTTGTGTGTGTGTGTGTGTGTGTTGGTGGAGGTGGTGGAGGTATCATGAAGTTGGTAATGCTCAATTATTTTTCACTTCCCTACATGAGAATTTTGATGATTCAACCTAATATTTTTCCCCTGGCCATCATTTATCTCTAAATTTTGTTTATTGTGTCTTCTTATATGGAACTTACTAATTTTTATATAGTCAGCTCTGTCCATTCAGCAGGTATTTATTGAGTTCTCACTAGGTGTCAGGGACTAGTGACTAAAGAAGACAACAGTGGGCCCTGTCTGTGGAGCCACACTATGATGAAGACTGTGAAGGAAAGATCTTCTTTAGGGTATTTGGATTGCTTAGGAAATCTTTTCTTCCTCACTCCAAGATTGTAAAAATACTCTACACTGTTTTCTTCTGATACTTCTGTGGTATCATTTTTACATTTAGCTTTTAAAATTTCCATTAATCATTTATTTTCTTGTGGGACTATTCTGATTGGAGGACTAGTTGTTTCAATACCATTAATAAATAATTGTTTTTTCATTGATACAAAATATTTATAGTATTTATAATATATTATAAATTTATAAATTTATTAAAATCCAAGTACCACAGGGCTTGGATTTATTTATTATTTTTTAATTTTTTTAATAGCCTAGTGTGGTAGGACACGTATTTATTGTTTTGCATTCTTTTTAATCAGCTTTTTTGCTGCTGCAACTTAAAGACCTAACCAGAACAACTGTAGAGGAGGAAAAGTTTATTTAGGGGCTCACGGTTTCGGAGGTCTTAGTCCTTTAAGTGGCTGACTCCATTCCTCAGGGCTCAAGGTGAGGCAGAATCTTGGCTCCCAGTGCCCCACCTCCTCCAAACACACCCTACCAGTCTTCAGTTACCACCCTTAATCCCATCAGGGGATCAATTCACTGATTGACCTAAGGTTCTCACAACCCAATCATTTATTCTCTGAACCTTCTTGCATAAGCTCATACTTATCTAAAATGCAAAAAATATATAGTCTATTCCCAAGAGTCCCCATAGTTTTAATAGTTCTGAGATTGCTCAAATTTCAAGTCCAAAGTCTTCTCTGAGGCTCAAGGCAATCTCACATTGTGAGCTCCTATAAAATTAAAAACAATTTACAAGTATCCAATATATAATGGTACAGGGAAAACATTTTCATTCACAAAATTAGGCATATAGAAAAAAAGGGATAGGACCAAAGCAAGACTGAAATTCAGCTGGGCAAACAGGTCCTGTAGTTCTGTATCCAGCATCTGCAGCACATGGCATGATGTCTTCTCCAAAGAGCTTGTTTGTTGTAGCCCAAGTGGCCTTTCTTTTGGCTTATCTCTATTCTATTCCTGCAGCTTTCTTAGGACGATTATTAGCACGTTACTGGCATGTCTTAATCTCAGGGATGTCCACTTTAGCTTCAGCTTTCTCCTC